TAAATATAGGGTCAATCCTTAAAATTCACAATCAAATTAGAATCAATGTAGTTTAAGATTGAAATTGGTAATTTTTAAAGCATTAAAAAGTTCGATTGCACTTCAGAAAGTGTAAAATTACCAAAACACCTTTTAAGGGTATTTTCGTAATTTGACTTTTTCAAAGTCAAATTTTTGTGAAAGCATTCAGATCATAAATGAATATTTTTTTGATGATTTTGATGCACTAAAAACCCAGATTGCACCTTAGGAGGTGTAAAATTACTAAAATGCCCCTTAAGGGTATTTTTGTAATGTGACCTTTCCAAGGTAATAATTCCACGAAATCCTCCAAATCGTGATTTTTTAATATTTGATGATTTTTAGAATTTTGACACCTTGATTGTACCTCCGAAGATGTGAAATTACCAAAATACCCTTTATGAGTAATTTCGTAATTTGACCTTCTTGAGGTTGGTTTTCGCAAAACTTTTCAAATCATAATTTTATAATATTTTATGATTTTTGGTGCATTTAGAATCACAATAGTCCTTGAAGGTGTAAAATTACTAAAATACCCCATTTAGGGGTATTTTTGTAATTTGACATTTCTGAGGTTGGATTTTCGCAAAATTTTTAAAATCTTAATTTCATAATATTTTATGATTTTTGGTGCTTGAATATCCTAAAAATGAGCATGTAAACATTGATTTCTAAGAAAATAGTCTAAATACTAAAAACTTTGTACTAAGGCAAAGCAGTTTTTTTATTGGTTTAAGGGTTTTAAAAATCACATCTTTGTAGTAAACAATGTGGACCATTAGATCTCATATGAAATCTTGATTCAATGGCTAAAGATTGCTTCTTGGATTAAAAATCGAGTAGAAATTTTACCTTTTGGATGAGATTTGATTTTATGGCTTTGATTCAAACTTGGGAGATATTTTCTTAGCTTTTTCTTCATTTAAGGGGGAGCTCTTTTTGTATAAAAAAACCAGAAAAGAAACATGAAAAACAGATGAGCTCATGGGAATGAAAATTAGGAGAAAAGAAATTGTGAAAAAAAGGAAAAAGAAAATTCTTGGTGCTTAGTTTTGAAGGTATACTTTTATAACACCAATTTTCCAATCTTCATGCATTCTCAATCACATTTCATAACATTTTCCTGTTAATTTAATCCATTTTTTTATTGAAGCTTTTTAGTTTTTTTTTTTTTACTAGAAACTTGAAACAACTTCATCTAATTAACTAATAGTTGGATTGAAGCCAAAATTCAAGTGAGAAAAAATCACAAATCCACCACAAAAAATGAGTTGGAGGTTCAGCCACTATGTGTTCTTGTTGACCAAACCTCCTCTTGGCCTCCTTTATCTCTTGTTGCTTTAAATGTTAGCTTATGATGCTTAAATGATGATTATATATTTGTTTAACATGTTTTATGGTTGATTGAATATATATGTTATTGTTTGGCTACCATTTTTCATATAAATTCTTTGTCATTTTTGGATCATTAAATGTTTATTGAAGTTGTTTTAATGCCATAAATCTCTTCATGGAGTAAGTTTTAAGTGATCATTGCTTCGTATAGATGAACTGACACAAAAATGGAGGTAAGAAACTATCATAGAGGTTCGGCCATGGTGTGCATATTTTTGGCTAAACCTTGTTCCATGCTTTTATGATTTTTGGTCCTTTGATCCATGCTTTATGCTAGGTTTTTATGATGTTTGGCAATTTTCTAACATGTTTAAATAAGAAATTTCATTGAAAAAATGTTACTTGATGGTTGTTTTTGGTGGATTTTTGAAGTAGTTTTGATATGATGAATGATGAATAATGGTGGAACATTCAAACCAAAAGTTAAAGTTTTCCATGTTTGATCCATTTTTGTTTTAAAATTTAATGCATTATATATTTGTGATATTAAGTTTGAAAATACCTTAATTTATAATTATGTTCTTAGGTCATGCATTTAACACATGCATTCATTAATAAATTTTTTATAATTTGCTTGCATTTCATATCTATTTCCATAGAACTAAAAAAAAAAAAAGCAATTAAAACCCCAAACTTATCCCAAATCTAAAACCCTAAATCTAAACCCTAAACCCCTCAAATTTAAACTCTAAATCGTAGACCCCAAATCAACCCCAAAACCTAAATCATTCATGCATTTGCATTTCATATTATCTTATCATCACATGCTTTTTTGTATTACCATGCATTCACATTTTGTCATTCATATTATATTGTCATGCATGGATTTTTTTTTTTTTACAATTTGGTTTTCAAAGTAAAAATATTTTTAAATAAAATAATACTTTAAGTAAATATAATCATTGAGAACTTGTCTAATTATGAGAAGGCTCTGAATAATTATTATTTATAAGAGGTATTATCTTGATTTTTATGGGGTAATGTGAAAACTCTTAAATTATAAATATTTTTTCAGCTCTATTTAATTATAGGAAAGTAGAAAAAGTATTTCAATATTTAAAATTTTTTCATCTTAATCTAAAAAATAAAAAAAAAACTTTTGTCTTTAAATTTAATTAGTTTTTTTTTTTAAAGAAAAAGGAAAGAAAAGAAAACAAGAATTAATTTTAAACATTAAGTAAAATATGATCATTTTAATTAAAATTAAAGATAACATATAATCAATTGATACCGTTTTCGACATGGGTTATTGGGGTGTTAATTCTTTCACATATAATCGACTTTCAAACTCAACTCTAATTTCGTAAACTGTAAATTTGTTCTTTTTTAAAATTTTTTAAATTTGTTAAAAATTTTTTTATTAAAAATTTTTTTTAGTAGTTAATCACAACCTAAAAAATATTGATAGTGACTTTTTAATTTTATTTTTATTGAAAATATATTTTTAATCTCTCACTTTCTAAAATTTTTTCTATTCGTTCGATTTCGAGTTAGTTTGCTCTCGAATCCTGAGATGTCACAACATCTTTAAATTAAAAGATAAAAGATAACTTTAATATATTATATAAATAAAATATATTCATATATTAAATATAAATAATATTAATAAAAAATAATTTATTATATTAAATTTAAAAAACGTTACTAAACAAATTGTTATAATAAAATAGTGAAAGTGAGACATTTAAAATTAAAATAAAAATATTAATAAATTTTTCATATGTTGGTGACTAAATTATGAGTTTTTAAGATTGGATGATCAAAATAAAAATCATCAAAAAAATTAAGTGATTAAAAGTATAATTTTTTTTTTTAAATTTTAAAAATATTTTAATATTACATTAATTTACTGACATGTCAAACTACATTGAAAATGCCACGTGTTGAAAATAAGGTGACATTAAAAGCTATATTAGCTAACCATTTATTTTTAATAGTTGATTTATTGAAAATTAAATTTTTATAACGTAAATGATTAAATTTGAAACTTTTATAATTGAATGACAAAAATGAAAATTTTGAAAAATGTAGAGCTTAAATGTGTAGTTCACTCAAAAAAGAATAAAATGTAATTTCAATTTCCTCTTGCCAAACTAAAAAACCTTTCGAACACCGTGGCCAAAAATAAAGTAATACAGAAATTGGAGCAGTAATATCTTAAATCTAATAAATCACCAAGGACTCTAAAGAAAGGATAACTCCTCGAAAATCCCCAAATAAAAAATATATAAAAATAGTAGTATTTCAGTCGCCACCATCTCTCCTGCCTCAAAAATTCCGAATTCACGTTTGGAGACAGTCGAGACCATCCACGGTTTGCCCTAGCAAGGTAAAAATGCAAATCTTTATTTTATTTTAATTTTCATCCTCTTTATGTTTTTCCTTTTAATTCGCACCTTCATTTTTTCCTCAGTCTTTATTCTCCTACTATGGTTTTTTTTTTTTTTTTTTTTTTAAAATGAGCTGCATATATTTGTATGTTTATGCATGATAGAATTTTGTTGATGTAATCTCGCCTGGAGCCACGGTTCTAGCTGTAATGTAGCCTTAGAATTTGCATTTACGTTGATTTTATTCATTTATTTTAAAATTTTCTTATGAATTACTATGTGGGGTTTTGCCTTTTATTATTTTTTTGAAAAAAAATTTTGGTTATTTTTGGTTTGCTTGACATTTTAATTTTTTATTACTTTAATGAATATTTGTAGCTGAATTATTGTTATGTAGTCTCAGTTTCTATGTTCCAGTTGCAGAGTCACAATGTAGTTTTTGAATTAAATCCTTTTCTTGGTTTTTGCTCTGCATCATTTCATTGAAAAATAAAATATTTTTTAGTGTGTGTGTGTATATATATATATATATATATACATACATACATACATACATACATGTATATATATGGAAGGGATCAACATCAACTCACACCAGTGGAAAACTAAAAAGTTTTACAATGGTGTAAGTTGATTCCTCTTCTCTCTCTCTCTATATATATATATATATGCTTGACTTAAATAAGGGGTTTTCATTTTTTCTAGTTTTTTAAAAGTTCTGGATAGTTTTAGTTTGTTCATCGTTTCCCATTTGCTCTTTTTTTAATGGGTATTTGTAGGTTTAATATGATGTGAAGCTATAGCTTACTTATTTTCAGTTTTTATGTTCTTTGAAAAAATGTAGAATCTTGTCTTAATTGTTTGCCTTTTCTCTGCATGATATCTTTGAAAAGTGTTGTTTTCATTCCTTTTTCTACTGTTTATCTTGTCAAATATGAAAACTTTTATTTTTTTATTTTTAGAAATAATCCCCCATTTTAATTCTTGTTTTCAGGTTTCATATTTTACGCTCCTTTGCTGTCTTGTATACTTTGTATTAATTGAGTTTCTTCGGTGTTTCTTTTCATTTTTTTCCTTTATAAATATTATTGGCAGATGATATGGGTTTAAATAAAGAAATGATTCTGGCAAAATTCTCTATTTGAACTATGAAAACAGTATGATTTCTGAATCAGCTCAAGTGAGTTGTGTTATGAGTGGCGGGGCTAAGAACAATCAAGACTTTAAAAGAAAACATTTGAGATTTAATGAGCACAGAACAGCTTCTTGTCATGATCGAGTGTCTGATGACCAAGGGGACGTAGGAACATCTGGCCAAGATATGACTGCCAATATAAATGAAGACACAAAGCTTGATGGCATATCTGTAAGTAAAGCACATAAGGAATTCCTTTAATTTCAAGGAATATAGTTGTTATGAATGCTGGTTCTTTGCTATGTTGCTTCTAAAGTGTTGAATTTGCTCTGTGGCTTGTCTGCAGAAAAAGGTGAGGCTGCCAAAAAAATTGACTTTTCAGGATTTGTACAACAATCAAGATGCATTTGACGATGGTGATGATGATGATGACAGTGACTGGGAGTCTGTACGAAAGCACAGAGATTTTGAAATGGTTTTGTACCAACCGCACAATGGTCAACCTTGATGTGTTGTTCGCTGTGATGCATGTTTGTTTATTCTTTTTCTTGATACTATTAATAATTCCAGCACCCCTTTTTTGGTATGCTTTGTTTTTATAATCTTCTGACATGATCTGGAATCTTCAGTTCTCTTTACTCTTATTAAAGAAATTTTACTGGCTCTAGATGATTTAGCAATTTCATCTATGCAGATATGTGGGGAGCATAAAGAATCTGGCACCCTAAGGCATGGATTTTACGCGTCTCCTTGTTCGCCGGAGTTAGACTTTATTCAGGTTGAATCGGAAGCCAGAGGAGGAGACAAATGTAACCACATCATGCTAGGCCTATTCAATAATATTTTCATCTGTTGCCGTTTGTTTTCTTCTGGCCGAAAGGTTATGGAAGTGCCCAACATATTGATGCTTTCTTTTCTTTTCCCGCATTTTGATTTCTTCTATCAAACTACTAACAAAATTTTACTTCTAAAAAATTCCAATGTAGTACATTTGGTGTTGGGTTCTTGAATCTAGTGTCATTTTGGTGTTTGTTGGCTTTATGTTTTCATGATAGTTTTATGTGGTGCATTGAAATGCATCAATGGCCAATCAGTTATAATCATATGCTACATCATTGAAAAAGTTGTGGAGGATGTGCTATAATAACATATAATTATCTTATGTCAGAAATTATTTATTTATTTATATGTGTTACATGGTTAACTTATTTATTTTCTAAAAGTGCCCTATATGACTTGTAGAAATAGGTCAATGCTTTGCATTGTTGTTATAGCTTGATATCCTGAGAGGAATAGCTATTAGTCATTACTCAATAATAACTGCTTTGTCATTGAATGTGACTGCCATATTATCACCTTATCAGTGATTGTGCCTCTTATCATTGCGTTATATGTGATGTAGGTTAACAAAAATATTATGTTGCTTTTTTATGTTGTTTGAGTTCTTAGTATGCATATAATGATATAATGCTATAATGTTGATGGTCAAAATCAAATTTATCATGGACAAAAACAGGGTAAGATAGTCATAGAGTCTTGAGCAACTTTTATTGCCTTTTTTATTTTTATATAAAAATGGATTTCAGATTTCAGTCAAGGTTCTGAAGAATTTGAAGAGTTGCCTAAAATTTAAAATTTAATTAGCTGTATTTAGTTGATGTAACAATATATGGTTTCATTTCTAACCTTCTTAATTAAGTATATGCTGACATCTGAGTCTCTTTTTTGAATGGTGTTGATAGGGTTCTTTTCTACTTTATCATTTGCTTATTATTTATTAATGTATTTAAGTATTTCCTTTTACTGTGAAGTTGCTTTTTGCCATTGTCTTACGTTGCTGCCACTTGGCACTTGTTATCACACTTTTAATTGGTAGCTATGAAGCAGGGACATGCCATGTACCTCCGGTGTACCCATGTCAGACATGCCTGGACACAGTTCCAACACGGGACATGCCAGGACACCCAAAAAAAAAAAAATTACAAAAGAAAAGACATGTTCTTTTCTTCTTTTCTGAACATGGTCAAAACATGGCCAAGACACGTTCGGATTCTGCTGGACATGAGATAAAAGCTTTTCTTTTTGCATTTTTTCCCCAAATCTTAAATCAACAATGAGCAAAACCCAAATCCTACGGAAGTCAGATGCTTAAAATCCAAAAATAAAGAAAAGAAGATAATGAAGAGAGGGAAGGTATAAGATAAGGAAGATGGGTGGATGACTTAAAGAAAAAGAAGCCAAAAGAGATTTTAATACATTAATAATTATATATTATTATACAAAGAAAGATTTTTTATTGTCGTGTCCTGCCATACTCTATCCGCATTTTTTAGAAATTATTGTGTCACCGTGTCCGTGTCATGTCATACTCGTATCATGTGTCCGTGTCAGTATTTCATGGACTGGTAGAAATGTTCTGAGTCATTTTTAGTTTAGGTATTTATGTTGAATTTGCTTCTATTTTGTGTTTTTGACCTGCATCCTAAATTGCATTTGCCTCGTTAAATAAGCAGCCCTAGCAAGAACACCATAACTCTTGTAGAATATTTTGTTTGGATGAAACCCCATTTCTGTTGAGATCCTAGACTTGGAAATCTTGTTCTGACATGTAAATCATATTAAGTAATCTTTGCAAGAATCTAATAACTCCTATCCCAATTTTTGCTTGGGTCCTCTCTAATATGATCCCAGCTGCAGAAATCTCCTGAAATGTAAATTATATTTTCTTTAAAGTGCTTGCCAGGTGTCAGGCAGATTTGTCCTGATGAAAATCGAAATTTAATATCTATGAGATTTCCAGTTTTTATATATATATATATATATATATGCTGCATTTGCCTTGTTAAATAAGCAGCCATAGCAAGAACCCCATAACTCTTGTTGAATATTTTGCTTGGATGAAACCCCATTTCTGATGAGATCCTAGACTTGGAAATCTTGTTCTGACATGTAAATCATATTAAGTGATATTTGCAAGAATCTAATAAGTCCTATCCCAATTTTTGCTTGGGTCCTCTCTAATAAACCTCCTGAAATGTAAATAATATTTTCTTTAAAGAGCTTGCCAGGTGTTAGGCAGATTTGTCCCAATGAAAATTGAAATTTAATATCTATGAGATTTCCAGTTTATATATATATATATATATATATATATATATATATATATATATATATATATATGCTGCATTTGCCTTGTTAAATAAGCAGCCCTAGCAAGAACACCATAACTCTTGTAGAATATTTTGCTTGGATGAAACCCCATTTCTGATGAGATCCTAGACTTGGAAATCTTGTTCTGACATGTAAATCATATTAAGTAATATTTGCAAGAATCTAATAAGTCCTATCCCAATTTTTGCTTGGGTCCTCGCTAATATGATCCCAGCTGCAGAAACCTCCTGAAATGTAAATTATATTTTCTTTAAAGTGCTTGCCAGGTGTTAGGCAGATTTGTCCCGATGAAAATTGAAATTTAACATCTATGAGATTTCCAGTTTATATATATATATATATATATATATATGCTGCATTTGCCTTGTTAAATAAGCAGCCCTAGCAAGAACCCCGTAACTCTTGTAGAATATTTTGCTTGGATGAAACCCCATTTCTGATGAGATCCTAGACTTGGAAATCTTGTTCTGACATGTAAATCATATTAAGTAATATTTGCAAGAATCTAATAAGTCCTATCCCAATTTTTTCTTGGGTCCTCTCTAATATGATCCCAGCTGCAGATACCTCCTGAAATGTAAATAATATTTTCTTTAAAGTGCTTGCCAGGTGTTAGGCAGATTTGTCCCGATGAAAATTGAAATTTAATATCTATGAGATTTTCAGTTTTTATATATATATATATATATATGCTGCATTTGCCTTGTTAAATAAGCAGCCCTAGCAAGAACCCCATAACTCTTGTAAAATATTTTGCTTGGATGAAACCCCATTTCTGATGAGATCCTAGACTTGGAAATCTTGTTCTGACATGTAAATCATATTAAGTAATCTTTGCAAGAATCTAATAAGTCCTATCCCAATTTTTGCTTGGGTCCTCTTTAATATGATCCCAGCTGCAGAAACCTCCTGAAATGTAAATCATATTTTCTTTAAAGTTGCTTGCCAGGTGTTAGGCAGATTTGTCACGATGAAAATTGAAATTTAATATCTATGAGATTTCCAGTTATATATATGTGCTTTTTTATCAGATTTTGAGCTCTATAGTTCACGTTTCTATTAATTATTCCCCTCTACAATCAGAAACTTATAATATTTCACTTAATGGGATTAGGAGAGCTATTATAGGCATAATATATTTGTGATCCTAATCTGTTTATGCTTATTGATGCAGATTTTCGCTCGTAGGCTTCAGCTTAAACTTTTCTATAGGAGTTGGTTTTGATGAGAGACTGTTGTTGCACTTAAGGGTACAACACTGCTATTCTATATGCTTCAGTAAAATTCTCCAATTGGATGAGGTTTTTATGGTGGTTTGACACCCTTTCAAGATAAGATTAATGTGTAGAAATTGAATATATCAATTGTGGTGGAAGATTTTGTAAGTTATATGTAATCTATCTCTTTGTGTGCTTGCAACTTTTTGTTGCACTGCTTACATTTGTCTCTTTAAGTGTAATAAAGTTTTGGCGAGGAGTTGAAACCTTTTTTACTCTCATTTTGTCAATTTGGGTTTTCTTTCAACAATTTTCTTTCCTCTCTTCCTTTTCTTTCTCTACCTGGGCTTGGGGGGTTCTAGTGGATTGCTGTCTTTCATCAAGTGTCATTACAATTATTTCATAAGTTGTAACCTCAAATAATGAAATCTGGATTCACTTTGTCGTTGGAATTATAATATAAATAATGAATCTATTATTTCTGCAAAATTAATTGTATGATGAGTCTGTGATTGCTGCTTATGTTTTGTTACTCTTGTGGGATTTGTGTCTAACGCTTTTTGCAACTCTTGCTTGCTTGGTAGTGTAGGTTGAAATAAAGTTGCATCCACATCCAGAAAGAACAGATCGTCTTTGAGCTATTGCTGTTAGCCTTGCTGCTGCTGGTATTTCAGTCTTGTGCTTTTATATTTTTTGGTATTAAATTAGTATTCAGGGCTTCTGATTTGTCTTTCACAATTTAATTGGCAAGTTTTAACCTGTGGAGGTATATTTCCTGGAAAGTGCTGCACAATTGCTGCGAGAGAAATCACTTAGGAGGAGTTTCAAGTGGTAAGGACCATTTTTTTTTTTTAATCTTGAAGGCATATGGCTCCATCAATAATTTCCTTTTACTTTATCAGGTATAATGAGCTATTTTGTTCAATTTGCTTTGTCCCATTGTTTAAATTTTTTACTGAAAGTGCTGTTTCTTAGGTTATAATGCAATCTCTGAAGCTTTATTGTTTTTTGTTTTGGAATCCTTAGTTCCATTCCCTGGAGCATATTGAAGCTGTTGAACTTACAAGCCAAATTTCTAGGTATCTTGTTTCTCTTTTCCTACTCAAATGTATGCATGTTTAGAGTTTTGAAGGGCTCTTATTGTCTTCGCCAAAAGAATAGAGCTCTTTTCTTTGTTCTTTCATCAATTATCTATCTTTTATGGGTGGCTTGAGAGCATGTGCCTGAATAGGAGTGAGGAAGTGAGTGTGGTCAATGCGTGTATTGTTTGTTAGAAAGGTCTTCTGTTGTTCCTTCTCTCACTTTTGGTGTGTGGGATATGTCTTCCCTATGGTAACTAGTGGGAAGGAATGACTCTTCCATTGATTTTGTGATTAGATTTGAAATTTTTTTTCAATGGGTCTTGCTTTTTGTTAGCAAAGGTCAAGCCATTACTGTCTTCATGGTTTTCAATTCATTCCTATTTGTTGTATTTGCTGGTTATGATGTTTTTATGTTCATTTTCTATTATTATATGTACGCACATTTTGAGTATATTGTAGATGGATTTTTTTCTATATTTAGTAAAAGATAAGATTAATGGAAAACATTTCACAAGATTACTGTTGCTCAGTAAAATCATAAAAAATTTGGTATCACTTTATTATTGGTTCAGTGGCGATACACAAACATCACCATTTTGACCTTTATAGCCTTGATTCAAGGTCTGTTCATCCATGATTATAGACCATTTCTTGATTGATGTTAAGATGAAACAGAATCTGCATTGATGGGTTATTGTTTGCTGGCAGTTATTTACTCTTGATACATATGCTAATGAGCATTCAGCATATGCTGCTAGACTTGTAGCTGGTTTATGTGTTGTTCTTGCTTCAGCAATATTTTCTAGACGTGTGAGAAATGGGTTTGCTCTGGTATGTATGAGTTTTAGTATTCTGTTTAATATGTTTAAAGTTTATGACCAACCTGTACTGAACTCCCAATGCTTAATGACTTCTCATCTGTCGATATCTGCATATTACTTCTAAGTCAGGTTTGACCTCCTGGTCATCATGCTGGTGTCACACAAGCAATGGGATTCTGTCTCCACAATAATGCAGCCAGTTGCTGCATTAGCAGCTCAGGTTGCAGGGGCGAAGAGGGTGCTCATTTTTGATTGGATAAGTTCTTATTAACTTCTCTTGATGCTTAACTTCTTTGTTGCTGGAGATTTGGATTATTTTGAAGTAATGGCTAAATGATGGGTTTATTGCCATCAAAATTTTGAGTTAGTGGTTCTCTGTTGATTATTTCAGGATGTTCATCATGGAAATGGTACCCAGGAGATATTTGGCCAGAATACATTGGTGAGCTTTCTTGATCATAAAATTATGATTGCAATACATGGATCAACTTTTTAATGCACTACTGATTTCTGGTAAAATCATTTGCTGGAAGAGGTGGGATGGTATTGGCTTTGTTTCTCTTGTAATTGGAATTTAGGAAGTAAAAACTGCTTAAAATTGGGCTAGCAAACTTTAAAATGAAATTTGTTTATTTGACTTGAGGTACATCGTAAGAAGCATAGAGGAGGATGCACTAACTAACCTAATCCTTGCTTTTCGTCTTCTTCTTTACTTGTTGCATGAAGTTCTGAAATGGAATACTTCCTACATTTTTTATTTTGGATTTGGTTTAGCATGCATATCTTGTACCTTTTTTTTTGTGCATTGGAGGGCTATGCCCTGACAATATCTTGTACCTCTTTGTAGGTGTTGTACATATCCTTTACATAGACATGAAGGGGGAAAGTTCTGTCTTGGTACTGGGGCAGTTTTTGAGGTACTTGATTATTTATTTATATAAAATTTTGTTCTTAGTTGATAAATTGATCTCAGGTAACTTATTCAGCTGAGTTTTGCCTTGCTACATGTTGATTTGGAATTTACCATTTCACCTTGTAATAGCCCAGAGAAGAAAGGGAGATATTGGCAGTAATAAAGATGGGTTTATATCATAATATTGACTGCTTATTATCCCTTTGGAATCTTGGTGGTTGGTTGATGTGATTTTGGCATTAATATTTTTAATGTTAGACTAATAGATAATTATGTAATTTTAATTCTTCAATTTATTTTGGTAATGTTTGTGAATATTGGAAATTTATCCAAATTGGGTAGACCACATGAAGGGATGGATGTTGGGTACTGTAGTTTTTTATCTGCATAAGGTGCTTAGGATACAATGAGATGAATGTTAGGTTATGGTTCTGCTGCTATCAAATAGATGTTAAATATGGATTAGAATCAAGTTATAAAACCTTTTCTTGATGTTGATAGGAAGAATCCTTATGCTTTTTATAAACTCTCCTTAATAAGCTGACCATACGTGATGAAATAAAAAAGCCTGCTTCTGGTTTTAGGGGAGGTCTCTAATGTGCCTGAGCGAGTGCATAGAGACAAAGAAGGTGGCATATTTTTCTTCTTTAGATCTCAGCCTTCTGTACTCAAACCAAATGATATGTACTTGCTGCTGTCAATGTATGTTTTACAGGCTCTTAGAAATAAAAAGAATTCTGTGAGGTCTGAGTACCATGCTTGGTTCATGCTTCATACTTTTGAATCTTCTTTGATAACCTTGGCGCTTCTAGTTATTTTTTCTGCAGTCATTATGCATATGCCTTGCAGCATTACCCCAGCTAGATACATCTCAGACAATCAATTTGTCAGAAATTTGCCTGCATAACTTTTTCTTTTATTTTGGATATTTGACTTGTGTATGCAAGCATTGCTCCCATTAACATTTATGCAAATTTGGTCATTCTATCCATCTCTGTCTGTTCAAGTACCTTTTCCTACATCTCGTTATAATATCTTGTCAAATCTGTTTGTATGTTGAAGGCTGCAATTTTAAATGGTTTATTCATTCACAGTTAATTATACTTTTAGTACTTGAACTTTCGAAAAATGTACAACTTGGTACTTAGAAGAAAAAAATGTATAATTTATACCATAAACTTTCAAATAATGTATCATCTAAACCCAAATTCTAATACCATTAATCTTATTCATCTATATAGCATCTAACCTATATAATTGTGTCGTATGCATGTCATTTGTTAAAAAAACATTTTTAAAATTTTTGTGAAAATTTCACATGGATGCCATGTAGATGTCACATGGTAACCAATAATTGACCTATCTTAGATAGAATTTTTACCGTTTGGGTGAAAAAAAAAATGCATTTTTGTAATTTGTATTGAAAAAGATAATGGTAGTCTTGTTTGGTGAACACATAACTTGATAATATTTAGCAAACATTACATATATAAGTTGATTGGATTATTAGTATTAGAGTTTGAGTTAACATAATACATTATGTGAAGGTCTACAATGCTAATTTTATATTTTTTTAGGTACCATTTTGTACATTTTCTTAAAGTTCAGGTACCATACATGTAATTAATTCATTTATTATCTATCTTGGGGCTCTAATTGATGCTCTTTTTTTATTTTTATTTTTGCATTCAACATGGCTTCCAATAGGTTCTTATTTTGAGTATATCATTGCATTTCTCGGTCATCTGGAAGATGAATATGGGATATCATACTTTTAGTGCATTAATTACCTAGGAATGATGCATGTAATCATGTTATCATAGAGAATAGTGAATCAGGTTGTGCTTCAATGTCAGTGGTGGCCAACAACTTATACCAAGGAGACTTTTCAATTGACAGTGTGTAATAGATAATGCATACATAATATATAATGTATTATTGTTTTTGCTCTTAGGAAATATAATGGCCTTTGCTGAGGGTCTTAGCATATATCTAGAGGTGGCAAAAAAGAACAAATATTTGAAAACTTAAACCCAACCAAACCAGATTTGACAAAAAAAGTCAAAGGCCCAAATCTGGAATGGTTTGAACTCAGAAAACTTGAAAGTCCTAACTGCCAGAACCCGAAGAAACTCTTAACTTAAAATTTTAGTATTACATGTTCATTTTTAGTACAATTTTTCATATATTTTGGTTTGTTCCTTAGGATTTTTGATAAAATTACTCCTAAATGCACATTTATCTTATTTGTAAGTACAAATTATGAAAATGAAGAATTTTGGATACTTTTGATACAAATTTAGAGGATTTTTTGTGCAATTTGTGTAAATTATCTAAACTAGTTTTAATAGGTCACAATAACATTAAGGGAGTTTTTATTGACTTTTCTTGCATATATTATTTTCATAGTTTTTTTTTTTTTAGTGAATTGTATGATTAAAATGTTCATGAAATATTTGAAAAATTTTTTGCAGCAAAAAGAAAAGAAAAAATATACATGTGTATGAAGAATGGGTGAAAGACGTGCATGGTGCATGGGAGGAGCACCAAAGTTGCAAGGTTCCACAAGCTGGATCAAGACCCAACTAGAGGATGTTGATGTGGCCTTTTCAAGTGCTGTAATTGGTCTTTAGTTTGACTTCTTGAAGTAGCAAATACATGTTAAAGAGCAGCTTGCAAATTTGTGAAGTAGCAAAACAAACCAACGTGAACCAGACTAGGAGGTGCACTAGGCGTGAGCATCAGGGGAAGAAAAAGGCTCTGGAAGCCCAGCCTCCTGGAGACCTTTCTGAATTTCTTTTAGACTTAAAGCTTCTCCTATCTACTTATAAATAGAGGGAGAGGCTGACAATTAGGAGAGAGTTAGTTTAGGATTTAAATTTTTATTTCTTTACTTTTTTACACTTTTTTTTTTTGTACTTTATATTTTCTTAGTTACTAAACACTTTATTTTCAGCATTTTTCCTTTGATTTTCATTGCAATTTTATTGTTTTTTAAATATTTTTTAGTGCTATTTAGAACATTTCAATAAAATTTACATTTGGATTCGTTTTTCAATTCAAATATACTGATTTTTCATTGATGCTCAAATTTGTTCTAGAATCTGTCAGTTCTAACGAACTTGTGGTTTTGGATGATATTTCTATCAAATTTTATTTGTTTTGGTTCAATTTCTTTTCATAGTTTCTTAAGTCATAAAGCTACAACATAGTAAAAATGCAGCCTTAAACTTGTCTCACAGAGTTTCAGATCAAGTTTGGAAGTTTCGGCTGGATGCAAGTGATAATCCAGTTACAATTTTGAGCAAGCAATTTGGCATGGACCTCTTTCAACTTTGACGATTTGTTTGCATTCTTTTCTTTTTTGGGTCTTTAGTTCTATTAGTTATCTTGCTTGGTTTAATTTTATGCAATTTATTTCATATTTTTAAGTGTTATTTGGTTAATTTTTGTTGAACATGTTTTGTTTTTCTAAATTCTGCATTGTTTTTGAATTTGAGTTTATTGATATGATTTCTTTGTTAATTCTTTTTTTTTTTATTGATTTAGGTAGTTAACTCATAAATCTAAACTGTTTTAACTTAGTTTTAGTTTATTCCTTTTAGAGAATTGTAGATTTAATTTTCCTTCTATGAATTGTTAGTTTCCAACTTCTAAATGCAGTTTCTAGTTTCATGTTTTTTAATTTAGATCTTGCATTTATTCATTAATTTTTAGTCTTCAATTTGAAATCTTATGATGTTCATTGAGTGTTCTTTCAATTTACAGCTTGTATCCATTTAGTTTTATATGATTTAGTTCCATTTTCCATCAATCAATTTGAATTTTCAATTTTTGGCTTTAACTCTCGATTTGCATTTCTTATGTTAGATCTTGCATTTTTTTTTTTACTATTTGAATTTCATCTTTTCTTTATTATAGTCCTTTACTTGATTTTGTAATTTTTGAGCTTTAGTTCATTACTTTGTTGCCATTTAGATTCCATATTATGTTGCAAGTTATGGTTTATTCTAGGTTAGTGAGAATTTTCAGTTTTGCAATGTTATTTGTATCTTACATATTTATTACTTAAATTTTACTTTAAATTTATTTTTTTACTTGATTTAGCTACTGTGTTTTACATTTTATACCATGCATTTACTTTTTGTTCTTGTTCATTTTCTCATTTATGTAGCTCTATATTTTTTATGCTTTATTCACTTTCATTTTCGTAGTTAGAAAGGTACGAGGATAAAAGGTACTTAAGTTATGGTTCTCTTTAATTAATCTTCATGGGATCGACATCTAAATTTTTATAGTCTTTATTATTACTTGTACGATCTGGGCACTTGCAAGATTTTTTTCATTACCCAAACCTGAAAAGCATGTTGAAATGGTTGTATCTTACATAAAATTTAAAAATGAATTGAACTAGCCCAAAACCAAAGGGACTCGAATAAAAAATTACCTGAACCTAAAACAACTTGAACCTGACATTACCCATACCCTAAATGGCCAAACTCGAACTTGCCTCCTTTAAATGTTCAATTAAAAAAATGTCATGGATTTTGTTTGAATGGTCACATTTAATTTCATTTGTATGACTTTCTATTCATCTATCTCAAAGTATAGTGTTCAAATCATCTTGATGGAACTTGCTAGAGTTGTTAATTGTGGTTTCCAGAGTTTGGGTATTTAAGAATGAGAATAATTATAGGATTTGTGAATGTGAGAGCAATGTATTGTGTTAGGAAAGAATCCCTAAAGTTATAGAAGAACTAATGGTTATCTTGAAATGAATTTTGGATAGTTATATAACTTTATGAACTGTAAAAGGTTTCTACAACTACTTAGTACAGCTTGTTGATGTGTTTTTTTAAGTGAAAATGTATAACTCTTATTTCTAAGGTGGATTTCTTTTTGCTTGAATGATCAGCAAAGTGTCTTTATTGTTGCATGCTATTACAATGCTGTTGAGGATTTTGTGTGTTTCTTGCATTTGTATTTTTAATGTTTTTTACAAATTATGATAGCATGTTATTTTTACATCTGTATATCTGCATTCCTGGCCATTATTTCTTAATCTCACAAATTATATTAGTTGATATATGATTTATTGCTTAAATCCAACTAATTGTTTTTCAAACACCTAACTGTAGCTTCCAAGTTTGCTCCTCATTTCATTATCATATCAACAGGATTTGATGTTGCTCATAGTGATCCTTTTGGATGTTGTGATGTAACTTTATTTTCATAATGTATAAATGTGTTTTTAGTTTGTGACTTAATCTAGAGAACTTTACTGACAAAAAGAAAAAAAATCAACCTTTTAGAAAACTATGTAATTACCTCAAATCTTCAATGGTATATTTTTATGTAAATGTATGATTAGCTACAATAGAGGATGCATCTGCTCATGCATTGGGTTTCAATTTAGTTATCTTATGCATTACATTGATTATTTAAACTTAATTGCCTAAATGTTATTAACTCATCAAATGGAGTAAATAAATGTTTTGGTTCATTTCATGAGTATTTTAGAATTTTTTTAATTTTGTAAAATATGTTTGTCCTTTTTGTTCCTTGCACTATATAATGATAGTAGTTTTGTAATTGTAGGTGATTCCTATTGTTTACGAACAAATGACACACATGTCAAGTATCCTTTCTGGTGGAAAGTTGCAAGTTATACTTAAAGGAGGGTTTGTGGTTTACTCCTTGCTGTTTGATACAGTCAAGATTATCATTTAATTTAGCTTTTCATTATTGATTTTTTCATTTTGGTAGTTACAAACTCCGTTTAATATCATCTTCTGCTAGTGCAGTGATTAAGGTAAATACAAACAAAGGAATAGAGATCAAGTTATGCTGGCTGTTGTTGGTTTTGTAAGAATGAACTTCATAAAAAAATTACCAAGATGTGTATTTTATTTGTCTTTGCTTGTGTTAACTTTGTATATTGGATGTATGCATATATAGTAACACACTTATATATTGCATTGATATTGATGTGTTAACATCTTATTTGAATTTTTAATGCAATGTGTTCTTTGTTTTGGGTATAAGAGCAAGCATGGTGGCTCAAATTTAGAGTCTCTACCCAAATTTCACTTGACCATTTTTCAATAGAGCTAAAGCTCGGTTTAATTGTAATGTTATATGTTCTTATATGGCTTCATTTTCTTTTTCGATAAAGAAGGTACTATTGGGTGAAAGTTTTAGGAGTGAACCAGAGAATATTGTTCTTTCTAAAGTTGGTTTGCTTATAGTGTTGGAAGTCCTAAAGATTTAGATGAAGTATTGGCCTACTCTAAGTTCAAGCTTTGAAAACTTGTAGTCATAGTGGGGGATATATTATATGGAGAGGAAAAGTAAGGAACTATTTGCTGACTTCTGATATAGTTTGTTCTTTTATTTTTTATTAATTCACTAAAAGAGAAGGTTATTCAATGTTCAGAACTTAAAGCTTGCATGCAAGAAGTTTTATCTGTGTTTGTTTGCATTGTCATTAACATGGGAGTTTGAACTTATTAGGTGGTGTTAAGAATGATTTCTGTTCGTGTTGAGCTTGACAAAGAAGACAAAAACTTGAAATCATAAAAATGAGATCGATCAAAAGCAAAGATCAAAGGTTTTTCAAGTCGATATTTGAAAGAGAGTGAGTTAAAGAGAAAATTGAGAAAAATTAAGATCCTCTACATGGAATGAAAGAAGATATTTATACTTGAAAGGTGAGGTGTCCAAATTTGGGTGATCTAAGTTATGAGAGTCGAGCCTAGGGCAAACAGCATCAACTTGACTTGACATTGTAGGAGATGATCCAACAAGTGAACGACAAGTTAGTATATTCACATGTTGTTAGGTGGAATGTCATTTTTGTAACCTTACATAAAGTGTTGGTTTTGTTTTCAATTTTTTAATTACCTAAGTAGTTCGAGGTACTGAAATAGCATTTGTGATTTGATCAAAGTGGGTATTTATTTTAATTCCAACAGTTTATGCTTTGCTAAAAATTTTTACCTTAGTCGAGGTCAACTAGATGTCCAATTTGGTTGTTTTTTGTTCATCTAGTCAATATTGTGTCTAAGGTAATACTTTGGGATTTTTTTGGTGTAAGGTTCTAAATTCATCTGAATCAATATTTAAAGAGGAAAGAAAGTTTTAATTGTATTTTGGTGGTTATTATGAATATGAGCAATTCTTTGAATTTGAAAGAGGAAGTTGAAAGGTCGTCTTTGGTTTTTGCAACATAAAGTATCTCAATTTAAGTCACTTGTTCATTTTGAGCTTTGCCTATATAAACCCCCTTTAAGGTTATATTTTTCACTTTTACTTTCACCTCCAAACTTTCTTGCTTTGCATTCGACCTAGTTCTCATTGTTTTTTGCTAGTTTCGAGCTTCTTTATCTATCCTTCCTTTTCTCCTTAGAACATCTCGATATGTTTTATTCCTTTATTTAATGTTTTACTCTAACTTAGACTTGTCTAACTTTAAGGTAGAGGTTAGGGATGCCCAGGTCAATTAGGATAGGATAGGAATTCTTTTAGATGATGAAGTTTCCTTTATTATTGTAGGAAAAAACTATAGTTGCTTTTTGGCAAAATCCAATGTTTGAGTTTGCAAAGAAACAAGTTAAGGATAGCTTGCAAACTCAAGGTAAGAGGGTTAACCATGGGATAAATCAGCCTCTGGTTACTCTAGATGCGTACATCAATAACCCTATAGCTCCAGTTGACCAAAATAACCCAATTCATCCACCCAACCTTTCTTTTACCTCAACCTCTTCCTCATCAACCCTTTTCTAGCTAAATTCCCATTTTTGCCAAACCATTGATGATATTTTTTAGTGCCCTTACCGTCATAGGTCCAGTCTTAAATTTCATTTTAGGGTCTAGGTCAATGTTAGATTTTGAATCTGAGTCATTATTATTATTATTTTTTTTTAGGTTAAAGAGGTTTTTTATCTTAAATA